TCTCAGAACTATGTAACTTATTTCCCTTTTCAAATTACCGCTTTAATTCATTGGAGTAAATCCCTTGCGGGTGATATATTTATTCCCAAGTACTTGCGGTTCCACAACTTGTAAATGGGTTGTCTGTAAAACCAATTTCACTCGTTAATGAGAAAGTTTATCCAAATTTGGGATTGTCAATTATTTTTTGAGTAACATTTGGCACTGTCTTTCACTGCGCAACTGTGAAAAACGATGTCTTTTGCAATTATAATTTGGAAACCTGGATCACTTACGCAAATGTATAGTCTCTAAACGTTCGTCAGAGCACCAACTCTTGTTTTGCGTAGCAAGCTCTACGTTCTCTCAATCAAATTGAAACAACCCGGTATAATCAGTCCCGTAAGTAACGCGAGTGCGGCTTTTCGTGCTCGTTAATTAAAGAATCTAGCCATTCTTTCACAATTAATACGCAACAAATTCTGTTATTCCGAACACACTCGTTGGACATGGCAGAAAATGGTCACTTTAATCAGCTTAATTTCATTCTCTTGCAGCCTAAATTTGCAACTGGAGAGATGGTTCAGGGCATTAACTAATGTCACTACAGTTCCTCTTATCGGGAGGTCCTAGGTTCGGTTTCCGACTGTGGCATGGTTTTCGACACTTCGACACTTTCATTCCCTGTCTGAAAGAGAATTCTAGCTGACGGCTGCTCTGACGGTAGTTTTTCGTGTTTATTTCGATTAATACCAGGCAAAGCAGAACTTCTGCCCTTTCCTTGCCCTATCATCACTTCTTACACACACTTAAACTTACATGCACTACACATGCCGGGAGACCGGTCGGGAGCTTAGAGCTTGTCACGGCTGAGGTGTTACCCCACTGGTGGAAGATACCTGTTGGGTTGATTCATTGTTAGTGATTCCGGGCGTGTTAACTGACATGATCATTGGTGCATGCTTTTGCTCGAGCTGTGACGGGGCTATTCCCCGTATGACGAGATCTGGCGCCGACCTACCGTCGGCTGGTGAGCGTTTCCCCATTCAAGAATCTTCCACCAGTGGGGCACCGCTCCAGTCGGGACAAGCTCTAAGCTCCCTTTCGGTCTCCCGGCAAGTGTGCTTGTGTAGTACGTGTTAGTGTGCGTGGAAAGGGAGAGGAGAGGATAAGGTAGATGGAGGGAAGATTGCGCGCGGTCCGTTTGTTAGGCTACTGCTCCGGCATTCGCGTGGGACGGAAAACAACCGATCAGAGAAGCAGACCGCTAGAATTCTCCCTCAGACAGCGACTGAATCCGACCTAGCTGACAAGCTAGGATCCGAACGTCTTGCCACCGCCAGGACTCGAACTTCAGACCTCCCGGTCAGAGGGACTGCAGTGACCTCATTAGATGGCCTGAGCCATCTCTCTCGGTCACCTGGTCAGTAGTTCGGCGCCGGATCTCGCCATACAGCAGGGGAAGACCACCGCCACCTCCCGATGGAAAAACACCTACGGGAGTAATGACCCTAGTAGTTGACGTGCCCGGAATCGCTAAGAATAACTCAATCCTAAACTTGCTTATGAAAGATTTCTTAAGTGCACCGTGCTTAAAAATTCGTACTCGTAATTACCTATAAAATGAAGTAAAGTTTTATTCACGTCATTTTTAGAAATTCCTAGAAAAAATAAGTTTTTATTCAGATATTAAGTATTTACTATAAGTAGCATTTACTGGTATGTAAAAGCTTGTTCTTACGTTTTATTCAGCGAAATGCATACGAAAAAGTACGTCTGGAATCATCTCAAAAACACTATCTCCAATTTTAGGTATAAAATTTGTGTTTAAGGTTCTATTGGTCTGTAACTCTGCACACTCATCAGGATTAAGGTCTGTTAGTGCAGATCCGATGTTGGTTAGGATTTGCGCAGGTGGCGGGAAGATGCACGTAATTTTGTATCCGAAAATTGGGATTTCTATGTTGTAGAGATGTCTCTGTGTCACGTCAGGAGAAAGATCTAGGCAAGCAGTTCCCGAGTTAATTGAGATATTTTAATTTTGGGGGATACTTTACATCAAGCCCCTCTGACATTTGCAGAATTTGCTAGAAAATGGATGAAGCCTTCAAATCAAGTTAAAATTATAAAATTAATAGAATGAACGCTCATCTGCCGTCGTATCTTTATTTTTGAATAGTGGACCTGCAATTCTTCGCTATTGCAGTGTTTTACACTCCACAGGCTCCTGGTCACGTGATTGTTAATCACGTTTTGCGCTACTCTGCTCTGATGAATTTTTTTTCTCGCAACTATGTGTTTGTTCTATGTCCTGGTTTGGACATGGTTCTCAAGTATCCTATTGTCAAAAAATCTTCTCTCTGAAGGTTATGCATGAGTTCCCTATGTCACTGTTTTAGAGAAATTTTATTTGCCTGACGGAGATAACGTTGAAGTCATAATTCCGGCCGATATATAACAACTTCAGGGACAGAATATGCAATGACAGCTTAATGCTTGACGGTGCGGCGGGTTGCGTATAGCGTTGGCTCAGGGGCCCTTGAATCATCATAAACACACAAATCATCGACAACAACGCCCCCACATGTCCGATTTAATTCAAACCATCGTCTGTGTGCGACAGACAACGCACATTCCCATATATATATAGTATAGTATATATATATATATATATATATATATAAACGGGAGTCCTGTAAAAAGAGTCAGTAATTACATAATTATGTGGTGTTTTACGTTATGATAAACATTATTTCTTTGTCTTAGTTCCTTACAACGCACTTGTGCATATCTTGGTAAATATAAAACATTTCCATTAAATTTTGAAAAACGTTCAGCTCTGTTTTCAATAGTGATCCAATGTAGTCCAGAATTTGAAAACCTCCCTCATTTTTTCTGTATAGTGAATATTATAATGAATATTGCATAACCTGCCGGAATTCGCTCGGCGGACTGCGTCATCTGCCGGCGCCCCCCGAACTGGACGGTTCCGGGTTATTTGCGACTCGAGTACAGTTGTGGCGCAAGTTCCCGATGGCTCGAGGCGGGTGCCGGTGGCCGCTGGCAGTAGCAGTCAGTGTATGTAGTCAGTGAGTATGCAGGCTAAGTCAGTGAGTTTGTAGTCTGAGCTGTGAAGTGTGCATCGCGGTGAACAGCAGTGCAGTGGACCCTGGTAAGCGCGCGTGAATTGTGGACATTGCATCGGACAGTAGTAGGTGTTTCGGACTGTGCGACAGTGTAGAAGAAGTGAATAGTATAAATAAATAATCAGAAGTGAAGTGTAAATAAATAATCAAAAGAAGTGAACAGTGTAAATAAATAATTAAGTGAAGTGAGTCGTGTGTGAGGAAATCACCGAGTGAAGAACACAAGGACTGTGCAACCTATCTGTAAATAAATCAAGTATTTTAGTGTATTATTAAGAAACGAAATAAACGTCTTTCTTAAATATTACGTGTGTTTTAATTCACCACCAAGAAACGTTACAATATGTAGAGCTTTTGTAACTTTTCTACAACATCTGCACACGTATATGATTTTCGATTCCCTGCTGCACGGTATTTTAATATAATTCCCAACTTTCCAAGCTGTTTTTCAAATGTTTGATTCTTGAGGCTTGGATGTTTTCTGCATTACTTCATTCGGACGTAGATGGTGTAACGATCGGATTGTTATATCCAAGTTGGCGGGTTCAAACCTGATCGAAGCTGTGGATTGTAAAGGCGAAAAACTCCTTCCGAGGGGAAGTAAAGGCGGCTGTCCCATGTTAGTATATTTACTGCAAGTAAGAGATCATAAAGCCTAAATGAAGCCTCTGAGCTAAATTCAAATCGCCTGTTTCGTCGTCCAAGAAATACCTCCTTTCTCCGCTAGTGGGTAGTGGGTGAAAGGAGCGTAGTGAAATTTACATGGCCAGACGGAAGAGCAGGTATCATGGCCTGAGTCTCACCACGTACAATAAGGCTTCAATTAAATAGTAACTCTTTAAATGATGGCATGCACGTAAAAAAGGAGTAATTGTTGAATAAAACACTGAGGGTGAATGTTTTCGGTATGCCGCACATGATCATTAGCTTAAAATTGTTGAAATATGAGAACACTCTTCTTCGCCCGTTGTCTCGTTTATTACTAACGTTGACATTATTTACATTTTCTTATAAACTTCATATTAATGCAGATAGTTTTTGTGCAAATTTTTCGCTGGTTGAATTTTTAAAATTGGGCTGCAACGAAGTAATGGACTGATATTCGTAAATTACTTAGTGTCACCACTTATTGGGAAGGTCTGTAATTTCCTCTAGTCAACGAAACTGCTAATATTGTTCAATTTCATATTTCCAATTCGTAATACCTGCACATATTGACACTTGTAATTCCTGTAATGCGATTTCAGTAGTGTGTGGAGATGTTTCATCGTTACAATCAGTTCATATCAAATTATTATTATTGGTTCAACATTTTGCCAAATCGACTTAGAAGGAAACTCAATATTTGGTAGCTAAGGTTTCGCGGTTTTCTACTAACAGTTCTCAATAAAACATTTGGTATATTTTCAAGACCTCGATTCTAATCGTGTGTGATTTTTATTTTTTGTATTTGGTAAGACTATCATTATTTCAGATGTGTACAATTTCTTCCGTCTTACTTGATAATTCTGCTAGTTGTTTTAAATGTCAAATGTATTTGAATATTTGGACAGGCATGATGAGCGAACTAAAGCGTTTGATCTCTTAAATAGTTTGATCTCACCTAAACCTGAAACTCATTGTGCTCCATTTTAAATAATCATTTGTGATGACTTACTACTTATTCTTTTTATTAGTATGATATCAAACATTTCGCTTAAGTTAAGACTACAATTGAAATACTAAATGCGTAACATTGACTACCCTACGTAATATGTTAATTTTAACACCTCTATTCAGGTTTCTAGCTGCCTGTGCCGTTATTTTATTGTAAGTTTAATATAAGATTAACAATGTACGTTACTGTGCTAATGAAGATCGTTTGTTATCCTCCAGCTTCCGCCGACCACTTGGAATTGGTGTGTACGGACATCCATCTCATGAGACGAGTACATACCTCTTGGAAGTAGTCTTCCGTTATGACGATGTTTTATATGACGATGATAGTGAAGAAGTATTTGAAATTCCATTTGATAATACGTATGGAGTACCTGCTCATGACAAAGTGAGAAATGATGCTCAAGTAAGTAATTGATAATATTTGTTCTAGACAAACTTTAAAAATAAAATAATAATAATAATAATAATAATAATAGTAATAATAATAATAATAATAATAATAATAATAATAATAATAATAATAAGGAAATTCGTCGGAAATTTCTGCGCCTGATCATATCTATGTGAAATAGATTCCTGAGCAGAAATGCAGTCTTGCATTCTTCAATATGATAATGCGTAGTCTTGCACGCACCGGAATTGTATGTTGTTTTTAAGTGTTACATTAGCAAACTGTCAATTGGTTGGGCATAATCCAATTGTGTAAAACTTTATGTGTGTGAAATTGCGCATTACTTCCAGAAATCATTATTTAACGGCTATGTATCGACAGTAACAATGAAGATAGTTTCTTGCTCTTTGATTGATCTGCATGCACGAAAATTGTGCTACGTAGAAGGCAATGAGATGAAGAAGAAAATGTTTGCTGTTGATTCATTAAAACTTAATATCCGCTTATCACAACAATCAAATGGGATGGGACACCACCATCAAAATAAAAACTAGTGTTAAAACAGCATACACTTTCTCGCATTATATGTTACGGCTCCGCAATTAACTACATCAACCTAGAAAAGAGTGTTCAACATTTTTTTTTCTCCGCGCCGAGTTTCGAACTCAAGTCCGGCGAGTTAATTCCCATGCCTTTTACCGCTAGGCCACTTTTGCCGACGCTTAAAAACCAAATGGTTTGTCCCATTATTTCTAACATGCAGTTTTCGAAAATTCAGAGATTTGTATATTAAATTTTAGAAAAAATTCCACAGAATCTGCTCGATTAAAAAATAATACTTGACCCGTTTTAAATATATTTTACTTTCTCACCCTTACTTCGTAATCAAGCTCTGGAAAAGGCGAATTTTCGTCAAAAAAGCTTATTGCTGGGCTGGTAACGCAAATTAGGATAAATCTTGTTCATATATAGTAAATTAATTCCTCTAAAACACTGTGCATTCAGAATCAATTTTTTTTTTGGACCTTGATCCCGAAAAGTCGATTGACGGCAAAACGTCTGTAGTGATCAACGCCAGCACCTAAACCGTTCAGTCGATTTCCTCCAAACTGATATTCCTCGATCGACTGAAATGAACAAGAGGCCTGTGAGTTTGAAAGTGATTTTGAGGGGTACTTTATATGAAGCCTCAACATTTTCAAACTTTCCTCCAAAATACTTGCTCCGTAGGATTAGCTCCAAATACAACAACAACAACAACAACAACAAAAATTCAATTTTGCCCTCCAATAGCGTAAAGAACACTTGAGAGAATGATGCAGGTATCATTTTCGTTGAAATTCCTGATCCTTTAAAAAATTTTAAAAGTTAGATTTTTTGGCGCCTTCTTTCAACTACAATGTTGAAGATTCATTTTTTCTTCAAAAACAGATCTTGAAATAAGGTCATGTACAATTTTTCGAAAATGTGAATAGTTTTCGCGTAATTTTGCACAACTTTTAAATAATTTCTTTTTCAAAAAGGCTTCAATTTTTTCTTTCAATATACTCCACGTATGTATCAAAGAACAATAAAAAAGCTACACGACCCATTTACGGCGAATGCTCTGTATTTCCGAAAACTGCATAATTTACAAACGTTGTTGCAAAAGTACAATATTGAAAATAGAAATGTTTGTCTTAAATAAAATCTGTTCTCGGAAATCAGATCTTTAAAATCTGTCTTATATAAGTTTTTGGAAAATATGAGTAGTTTTCCCATAATTTCTGCTTGAAGTTAATACAACTTTTAAAAAATAGACTTTTGTCAAAAATGGCTCAAATTTTAATTTTGTTTCCACAGAACGCTAAAACAATGGTGCAGAACTCTCAGGATTTTCGATATTTGCATAAAATGAACGTTGCAAAAGTACCATATTTAAGGTAGAAACTTTTGTCTTAAATTACATCTGTTTTAAAAAGTATATCCTTAGAAACGTCATTCAAATATTCTGAAAAAAGCAGTTTTTGCTTAATTTCTGGTAGAAATTACTGCAATTTTTTTTTTTTTCCCTCGGAAACGGCTACAGATGTTTTCTTTGAATTTTTTCCTGGCATGTATCAAAGGACAGTAAAAAAACTAGCGCTGGTCTCAATATCAACCAATCGCCATATTTTCAATGCAATAAATTAATCGTATTGAATTTGCAAAAATGGTGATTCGTGATCACCATTTTGATCATTCAAATTAGATTTTGAAATATTAATGCCAAGTTCAAATAAAGATTTGCAGAACCAGTTTATGGATGATTCACGTATTTTCCACTAGCATACGTATCAGGTTTGTTTGAGTCCATCAATGTTTTGTATTTGAATTTGTAAGGGTATAAAAACATTCTGCAAACTACTTCTGCATTCTGCAAAATTTCTTCTTGACAAGGATCTCATTTCATTATCACCGAATTTTGATTGATTGTTTTCTTTTTCCTATGTACTGAAGAAACCAGATGTTAAGCTAGTTTGTTTTAAGTTCTTGGTATTATCATCACTATTCTCAGTATTGTTCATTTTCCTTCTATGTAAATTTGAGTGTCTGGTCCTCTACTCATCATTTTTATAGTTTCCTAATTTATTCATCACACCAAGAATTCTCTAAAATGTGCAAAGAAATTATCAGTTCCCTAGTAAAAAGAACTACCAGTAAATTCATAGTCTATATACACCATTGTATGCATTTAAAATCTATAAAATTACTTCCTATTATTTTTTGCTTTAAGTGTGTCCTAACGTTTGTGGTTGCGTTGTAGGAACCTAACTCTTCAATAACAGTGAACTATTTTCCATCTAGAATAGCACATTTTGTTGGTTTATAAAATTCCACTTTCATATCATAAGATTAGCTCTTTTCACAGAGAAAGTACAAGCTTTTAACCAGTGCGCACAACCACCCTCCAGACTGATGGTAATGCATAATGTGATGTCTGTAAAGTGGTCTCCAAAATCTATTAATAGATTTCTCCAAGCGCCTCCAGAAATAAATATTCTTTGCTTAACCAAAATTTTAAGTTATTAAAAACTTATTTTAAATACTGCTGTAAGGAATGAAATATTGCTTCAAAATATAAAAAAAAAATAGTGTTATCAATATTAGTTTTCCAAGTTTATCTGTATATTTAAATTCAAATTTTCAACCACCAATAAATAAAAGAAATTTTTAATTTTGAAAATACAAAATACTATCAGAAAGTTTTTTCGATTCAAATACAAAATGCATGTTTAAATATGTGTTTTTCATGCAAATACAAATTATAAAAGTATTGAAAATACGTATTTTAAATAAAGTATTATCGATACTGCCCGACTCTGATTTCAACACATTGGATAGAAAGCTTTGAAAGTCGAAAGAGAACCTTATTTTCCAAATATTTCTTCAGAAAACTGGTTTGCACAATTTCAGTTAGCATGAGAACGAAATAATATGAAAGTGGACATTCCTTCTTATATTCTTCAGGAACATGCAATCAATCTAAAATGTGTGAAATTCGCAAATATGAATCTTGGCGATTTGTGGTTGAGTTATTTACTTGTTAAACCACAGTTGCTTCAAAGCTGCAAGGCTGTTGATGGAGTTTTCAACATGTGAATATGGATTTTCTATACTTATATCAAATCAAAGTATAGAGCAAGTCTGGATGTGGAAAATGGTTTGAGATGTGCATTATCACAATTAATGCCCAATTTTTGCATTCTATATATGCAACTCTATAAAGCACATTTAAAGCTAATTATTTTAATTTAAATGCTTGTTTCTTTTCATCTTCAATATAATGTTATATGAGAGGAGTGAGCTCAAACAAGTGTTCAAAGGAGGGGGGGGCACATGTCCTGAAAGGATGAGAACCATGTTTTAAGTAATGAAATTATCTCCGATTTGAAATGGTATTACACAGTTTTGTTATAAAATAAATGCTATATCACGTTCATTTATAAATATAAGTTATAGTTGCATTTTGTGTATTTTTTGTTTTTATCAGTTCATCAGTCTTTTTTCTATTTTGTGATTATTTGAGCTTTGTTTCTGTTTCAGGAAGAAGAAGATTCCTTCATATGGGCTTTAATTTGGTCATTTATTGATATTCTGTTAGAAGTGTTATTTCTTTAATTACTTAAATTAATACTGAGTGTATCCATTGTCTTTTCATCATTGAAAATATTAGTTCTTAGTCATGAGCCAAGAACAGGCTTATTTCAACGTAATACCAACATTTCTACATTGTAAGACTGATTTTATACGTGATGTGAACAGTTCCTTTCAAAAATTAAATGAGTTACATTTTAGATTGAGTTTTAGTGTTATGAAATGTGTGGTGTTCATCCTGTAAATTCATAAGGAATATGCATTTTGGAATTATATATGTGTGTGAAAATACTGACAGCGAAATTATAGTGATATGATGCTGTTAACCTAACGTTTGCTCATTCTATAATAAAAATTTGTTCCGAAATGTTTTTTTATTCATTGTTACTCGCATGTTGTTTACAGTATTTCAGTTGCCCTTACTTATCCGTGCTGAAGAGCCATGACTGTTTAATCCATATAATGTTGAAGAATGAAATACATGATTTTGCAAACATCTAATAATGAAGCGATAATTGTTTGTTTCGGTGTAGTGGTGCGCACAAATTTCACCCAGTTCTGGTCTGAGCTCAGAAGGAAAAAAAGTGAACTCAACTCGGATCTGTTCTGCTTTGTCTCCCTTCGGATTCAAACGTTTTCAGGTCCTCTTCTGTTAGAAAACCCTCGCAATTAACAAACACCCTTATACAGGTTCGAGCTCGGAGGGACATCTTTACTTGAAAGGCGAGTAAGTTCTTCACTTTAATTAATTTTCAACTTTTTTGCCCCATGATGAATGATAGTTCCATTATGTTGGCGAACTACCACATGGAACTTCCTAAATTTCTCAATTTTTTTTAGCAAACATGTTCGCACCAACCTTTTCCAACTATAACATATTAGCAACAAACAGAATTTGTGAACCTGGCAGCTTCCTTACAAAAAAAAAAATCTTTGTAGGTATTTTCGTTCGATCTCATCTTCCTGGGAAAGAAGTTTAGGAGGTAGTTTGGATATTAATAACTGATTCCTTCCTAGGTTTTCTGTGTTTCATTAAGATGACCTCAGCTTTTACGTATTTAGAACATTTGCAAGAACTCAAGTTACCATGAAACGCGATTACCTCAAACAGTTCACTTGGATTCTGAGGGCAGTGTCGAATGGAAAATAATGCTTCTAGGAACTGTTGTGAAATTGGGATAATCTAATTTCCAAAACATGTTTGAATTGTGAACTTGCACTTTCATTGATATTTACTATGAAACTTCTCATTCCTTCCATTACAAATGTCCATAAATAAACGTATGTCAATACTCTACTACTTATTATTAATTACCACAGTATTATTACTTTTTTGCATACTCCATGCTGATGCTATCTGCTTCTAAAGGCAGATCTACTGGTTAGAATGAAATTGTGAATGTTATAACAATGTATATACATTTTTGGAACATGTGAATACTGGATAGCTGGAAGTCTCAATGTGTTCATTTATATAACAATTTATGCAAAACTAATGCTTTTTCTTTCATTTTTTAGGCTTGAGCTTGTCTTTTTAAACAAAGGAAATGTATTTTAAAACAACTGATATTCCATGTTTCGAGAGTTCATATTCTTCGTTGTTCCGGCTGCCATAAATTCACAAAGTTTCTTTCCATTGTTTTCCATTCCATTTTCTTATATATTTAATTTGAATTATTTTTCTCAATTTTATATCTGAAGAATTGGCTTCTTAAGGAGGTTCCCGGGGAAGCGAGTGTTATGATTCGTGTTTACAGCAAGCTCTGCCTATTTCGCTTTCAAACGCGTAGAGGAAAGAGGCAATTTTCAGGGGAAGGCGTTTCTGGAAGCCAACTGCTGACTCTTTCTTGCTCCCAACTTCAGGAATGGTCGGTAGCAGCCTCGTATAGTAGTTTTAAAATTTATTCGGTATTTGTTAAACAAAGGGAACTTGAACTATTTAGAATAAAATGAAAAATTAGAGAGCTGAAAAACAGGAATATCTAACTAGCAACAATGTTGAGGGCAACATATGCTAGGAACTACAAACGTATGTGGCGGAGAAACGAAACGAGCCGTTTGTAAAAAGGCTTGAAGAAAAGACTTGCGTGGGAACTGCGCAAGGATCGACTGCCCAAAAATTGGAATTGTCATGATGCTAATTTCTTATAAACAAATACGTATCTCTTAAACGAAAGACGATAGCGCCGATAAGATTGCGGATTTTTGTATCTCGTTTGAAGGAAATTTAGAAAAGGCAATTCTTAAGCAAAATTTAAAAATTTATATACAATTGCCAATTTTTTGAATTCTAAAGTGGGAAGAGGTTTTTGACGTCCCAGAACAAAAAACTGCGAATTAACAATTTTGCAACAATTAACAAGTTTATAAACAATTCCGAAATCCGTACAATTCTTGCCGGGCAATGACCCCTAATTGTTTTAGAGATGAATATTGCAAAAATAACAAATTATACAAGTGATGTAACATATTGTTAGTACCTACTTTATTTGTTGCTAAAATACTATACATGGACTTTATTTTTGAATTTTGCTGATTTGTTTTAAGTTGTTCCCTAGAAATCATCTATAGATTCGAAAAATACACGATTTTGTAATTTTTACAAATTTTATAATCATATGAACAATTGCAAACTTGCAATTATAATATTTTTCTTATAAATAAATCTATAGTAAACTGGACATTTGATAAAGGTTCTGGAAAATTTATAAATAATAAAATTGAACATAAATGTTCATGAGAATCGAAATGGTCTAAAAATTGTGTTATTTTATCTCGTATCAACGTAATTTGTTCAAAAGGAATTGTGTTAATAGTGGTTAAACGTGTGTGTGTATATATATGTATGTATGTGTATGTATATATATATATATATATATATATATATATATATATGTGTGTGTGTGTGTGTGTGTGTGTGTGTGTGTGGTGTGTGGTGTGTGTGTATATATCAATGTATTTACTTTCATGTTCATAAGTGTTTCATTCTATATATATTTTTATTTGGAAATACTTTCACATGTGAACTAGCGACGCCCGCTATTTTCTACGACGTAATTTTGCTAGGCCACCTCTTCGTCCTTTGAGATTGGTTGCGGCTGTTTGTGAGGCTCCACCTGCAACGTTTCGTCATGACAAGGGCTGCCCAAGCCGTGGAAAAGCTGAACGGAGCCGGAGATGGCGCGGTTAATTTGTTGCCAAAGCTGTATTAACTTCCAACCCGGAGTCTCTTGAGGTGGCGAGTGCAAAAAAGGTCATCTCATTGAGAAAGCAGCATTATATCTCCCCAATGCTCTTGAAAAATCAAGGGTCTAGTTCTCTAATTTTTCCTTGACGAAAAGAAACAATGCGGTAGCATGTCTCATATGACATTTTACAGAGCTCCCGCGTTATACCAAGTTTGGAATGCGGGCAGTGAGAAAGGGTGGGGATGAGACTCATTTTAGGAAAGGAGATCACTAATGAGCTTGCGAATGCTAACCGTAACGTGTACATTGATAGAGCAATCCGCGAGAATATGATGGACTCTTACATGCTGTTCAAGTAATATTGCCTTTTGTATTATTTTGGAAATGTTTGTGGTTGATAAATGACGATGTGAAATATTAAAATAAAACGAATGAGCCATGCATATTTGATTTGGATACCAAGTATTATCATTTCTGGTAGTGCTGATAATGTAATTCGCTTTGCTGCGATGTAATCACAGATCAAGTGTAATGCTAAACACAAAATTGTAATACTGAATCGTTTTTGTTTGATATTAATAAAGTAATTTTTCATTAACTATGATTGAATTGATTGAACTATAATTGAATAAGACGGTTCTATTGAAGCTAAAAAATCCTATTCTTAAAAATAATTCTGCTCTAATTTTTGACAAGTGTACATTGTATATTTGTAATATCAAACCAGCGAACAGTATTTATTCGTATTCGTTTACATCCTATAAAAAAGATTAAGTTGTGATAAATATTTTAACATCTGCTATATTGTTGATTTAATTGTAAGTTTCTTGACCTTAATAAAAAAAGTCGGCTTTATCCTTTTTAATTGTATTTAACAAGATCCATAATAATTATTGATTGCCCCTAACATTTCGTCAGAGAGGTTTCGTATCTCGCTCGTTAGTACCTCGTATTTAGATTCGTAATGGGGAAAATGTCTATATTTCATTTTTATGTCAATCTTGATTTGAGAGATTGCACTCATTATTAGGGTGCGTATTTTTGTCAAAACAGATTTTAGAGGAATTCGAAAGGTGCAATAAAAGGAGGCATTAGACACCCGTGCATTCAGTCTACACAACTCGTCGTTCCCACTATGCAATGGCAGGCTGCTCCCTTCCCCGAAAAGCTGCCTACCCGCAACTACTTGCCCTTTCGCCACTCTCGCGGACAGACGTCCGGCTCTGAGTGCAGATCAGGTGTTGTGCGGGCGTTGTAAGGGTTGAGAGCAGGAAAAGGGGGGGGGGCAAGATCGCACGTGGTCCGTGGCCAGTTTGATAGGGAACTCCTTTACCATTCGCTCGGTATTGATCGGAGAAACGACGGATTAGAGCAGCCGGGCGCAAGAATTCTGCTCCAGACAGTGGCTAATATCGGCCTAGTTATGTAGCTAATGACGAAAGTCCTGCGACTGCCGGAACGCGAACTTTAGGATCTTCCGGTCAGAGGCACTGCAGGGTCGTCTGCTAACGCCCTAAACCACCCCAGTCGTTCTGTAAATGTTGGTCCCACAAATATGAAAGTGTAATCATCTGTGGTACCATATACCTGCCTGCAGTCAGTGATTGCAATTAGACTTGCCCGTCTAGGTGCAGCGTAGTTCATGATACATGTATTTATAACAAATTTGTACTATGAATTCATCTATACTCAATAATCTCATAATAACAGTTTATCTATGTATGTTTGTGTCTATGGCGACTTGTGATCTTGCCTTTAGGGTGTGGAATGTCTTTCTCCTCTCTCTCACTTCTCCCTCCCCGGACCTATTATCTTCCCCCTCCCTCGCACATATACATCCTTAACAAATGGGTACACTACTAACGTACATGCGTTTCTATTTACTGTTCTGAATTATGTTTATGGCAGACGTTAGTTAATTTGCATTTTTCAATAGTCAATTGCGAGGAATTTCGCTATGTAAAGATTATAACGCCATTCATCCTTATATTTTTACTTTTTTTTCAGAAAAATAACCTTTAAACCGAGGTTTTTCAAAATGCATTAAAAGGTACACAAACGCGTACATACAACCGCGAGTTAACTCAAGAATTAATAATACAATATTAATCGCATTGCTTCAATTCCTATTGCAGTGTTCGCGCGCTAGCGGAGAACTGCTGCTTTCGAAGAGAAAGGGATGGGATTTCAGTGGACTCCACAGAGATCATCTTCAGCAAGGACGATACCCGTCCCCATGTCTTTAGAATGGGCCATTTCATTGGACACAGATCCTACACTTTGTGCATCCAATTTTTGATCGTTCTGGGCAACACCAGTTTGCATCACCAACCACATGACCACAGCATGGGCATGTGCATGTTGAAAAATCTTTTGAAAGTGGTACAAAGTGACAATTTTCAACGCAAAAATAGCACAATGAAGGTGTACAAGATGTAATATTTAAAATAAATGCTTCCTAAATCTTTTTCAATCTCTTGTAACGAAATGATAATTTTGATATGTCTCCATTTAAAATTCCCGCTAATACTGTGACGCAAACTGGTGTCTGAAGCTCATTGGCTGAAGTCGGACACGATGCGTACAGCATGGCCTCCTCTACTAAAAGCCATGACACTCCGATTTGACAACAGGGTACGGGGTCTAACGAGGGCCCCGCGCCAGCAAAGGTTGCAGGTGGTTTTCATTGCCTTCCTGATGGTTTTGTCGTGGTTACGATCTGAACGCGCATATGAGAGCCGCCGTGCTTAACACGTTGTACATGCAAGGACGTATCGAGCAATAACATAGTTTGTTTTTTAAATATTTTGCTGTCCGTTTAGAGAAAAGGGGCTGTTTCTATCTTGAGAACCGGTTTACGATTATCAATGTGTTGTGTGTATCAAAAGTATATAATTTGAAACAGCCTGCCTGTAACCGATTCTGTTCATTGTTTGTTCCTAAAATTATGTAAATGAATGTAACATTGTTTCGTCCTACAATTTACTTGATTTTAAAAGGAGAAAGTTTCTTCCTTTCCTCATTTACGTTTGAATTATAAACTATGTCTTTACAAGTTGTGAATTTAAATTCAGCGTTAACATTGTGAATATACCACCAATGTAATTTTTCTTTCATATGAACCAGGGCGGTATAAGTGACATTTTATAAATTCTGAGAAATGTTTATTTAAGTCAATATCACCGCAAAGTCGTGGTGCTTTGTTTCACCACTAAAACCACAGCATCTCAATTGTTCATTAAAACCACAAAAATACATTACCACTGAAATATGGCCTAAAATAAAGGTTTTTCTCGGAATTTATAAAATTTCACTTGTACCGTTCTGGTTTTCATCCATTCATATATTCCATTTCTTCCTAGTGATGCTTGTTTGCTTTTAGATGCCAAAACATTGTTTGGCACTCTGCCTTGGCTTTTATGCATGAAGTAAAAAAGGCTGTGTTTCTGTTTTTAACTTTACAAATGGTGGTGAGAGAACACGTCAATAAATAAATTAAAAAAAACACACAGAATTATACACCAACGCAGCATGGTTGTCACTGCATAAAACATTTTAATAACTATTCAAACCAGGGAGGGAAGAAAAGAAAATGTTTTGAAATTAAAATATATAGTATGTGTGTCTTCCTTAATGTTATTTTCTCTTTTTTTCCATTTAATAAACTCCCATTCTTATTTTCAAAGTTAACAAAAGCAGTGAAAAACAATTTTTGCAATACAAGATTTATCTAATGGCTGTCAATTTACAATTAATTATTGCTACGTCATTTAGGACGTTGTGCATAGGAAATCTACATATTACGGAGAGGACATGGACAGCATTGAAAATGTGTGACCAGAATAGAACCCAAATCGAATGCCGTAGGATGTAGTAAAGGATGGGCGTGGCAAGAGCCCAACCTGCCACTGTCCCATTCGCATCGCCGGCGAGTGCTTCGGGACTACGCCACCTGCTCTCCCTCCAGACAGTGGCGGCCACCGGAGAGCTCGCGTAATCCGGGAGTGTTAGCATTCAGAGGAACCGCAGGCGGCTATTCTCCTATTTAAATACTGACGTTCCACGTACGATCTGCTGCGACGCGGTCCAATCGGGTGCTTCAATGCCGAAAATTAAATCCTAACGAATCTACCGATTGTATAACCGCGTCCAGCTGATTGTACGTCAAGTCACACTATTTAAGTTGAAGTATAGCTATTGCTCTTTCCGAACGGTGCGTAATTTGAAATACCACATTTTGAGAACCTCTAAGGGATCACTTTTATTCTCCTGTAGTTAAGATATGCGTAAGAGGAATTTCGTCGAATTGATTTGGGCATGCACATGCGAATAACTAGGAACCTCTCATTTTTACTTAAACAATGCAGGGCATCAAACGAGTTTGGAATAAAAATGCGTCTGCCTCTTGTTTATTTATCGAGACGATAGCGCGACGTTTTCGCCCTCTTATTACCTCGCTTGCCCACCGCAGATGATACTGCAAATGGCCCTGCCCGTGGGGAGCAAGGGTACGACCGCCCGAGTGGGTAAAAACCGTGCCCGCCCCCTGAAAATGGTTTCATGGGCTTGCAAACACAGGTGGCGTGCAATGTCACTAAAATTAACTTTTTGCGCCCACGTCTGGATTTTCTCCTTTCGAACTGTGGTGACGCAAGTAACGAACATACACTATGTGATCAAAAGTATCCGGACTCATGGCTCAAAATGACTGTTCGTGGTTCGTACCAGTTCGTGGCGCCCTCCATCGGTAATGTTGGAATTCAATAGGGTGTTGGCCCACCCTTGGCCTTGATGACAGCTTCCACTCTCGCAGACATACTTTCAATCAGGTGCTGGAAGGTTTCTTGGGGTATGGCAGCCCATTCTTCACGGAGTGCTGCACTGAGGAGAGGTATCGATGTAAGTTGGTGAGGCCTGGCACGAAGTCGAGGTTCCAAAACATCCCTAAGGTAGGATTTAAGTCGGGACTCTGTGCGGGCCAGTCCATTACAGGGATGTTATTGTCGTGCAACCACTCCGCCACAGACCGTGCAGTATGAACAGGTGCTCGATCGTGTTGAAAGATGTAATCGCCATCCCTGAATTGCTCTTCAACAGTGGGAAGCAAGGTGTTTAAAACATCAACGTAGGCGTGTGCCGTGATTGTGCCACACAAAACAAGGGGTGCAAGAAATCCATGAAAAACACGAACACACCGTTTTGGACGTGTACGGATATTTTTGATCACATAGTGTAATGAACGTTTCCAAGACATTTTGATGATTGAACAAGGAGAATTTTAAATCGCAGCTGCATTGTAGTTCTCGTCCCTGCCGATCAAATGTCGCCAGCGTTTAATTATACTAAGTTGAGTTATTGACTCGCGGTAACAGCGGCTTAGTAAACGTGTGACTCAAGTGGTATCGTGTAGACATATAGTTACGATGTTCACGGGTTCGATTCCCGACTGCGTCGATTTTTTTTTCACAAATTTCTTATTTATGTTTGGCCTGAAATGTGTTAGAAATTAAGTTTTGAACAAACTCAAGGTTGATTTATTTAAATTCAGTAGGGCGAAGAACACATCATCGCCGCCAACTCTGAAACGTAACGAACAGTCAACCGACTCCTATTTTTTATGAACCAGTGACGCTCCAACAGCACATAGTTTCTCGCATTATTTCTGTATGCGCAATTTTCGAAAATTCAGAGTATTCAACGAAAATGAGACCTGCGCCATTCTTTTAAGCATCCCTTCTATCCGTTGGGAAAAAAATTGAGCCATTTTTGATATTTATTTTGTACATTGCATTCATTTTAAGCAGAAAGTTTTAAAAATATACATGGGCTTCTCTAACCGGCTGATTTTTTAGAACATATTTTGTCTAACGTGAAAATTTCGTTTTCAATTTTGTAGTTCTGAAATCTGAACTTTTTACAAATTTTGAAAACACACAGTAGTTCACTGGAAATGAAACTAGAAGTAATATTTTTACCGCCCTTTGGTACATACAAAGAAACAATTGGAGTTTTTTTGAGAAAATAATTGTCTTACAATTGCTTATTTCACACATTTCGTGAAAACTACACATTTTCAAAAAAATGTACATTCACTTATCTCAAACTGTCTTTGAAGAACAGACTGCATTAAGGGGGAGAAATTCAATCTTCAATATTGCAGTTGGAAGAAGACAGAAAATTTTAACCTTTGAAATTTTAGAAAAATCAGGGATTTCCACGAATTTCCTGCACCATTCTCTTACGCGTCGATAACAGAGTTTGGTCAAAGGAATAGGAGCCATTTTTGAGAAAATTATGAAAATGTCGAGGCTTTATGTAAAGTACCCCTAATATCAAAATATTAGAGGAACTCGAGTTCATTTAAATCGATCGAGGAATATTAATTATGGAGAAAATCAACGGAACAGTTTAGGCGCTAGCTGTAACCACAGTCGGACGGGACGGGTAAATGGACAAACGGGGGTTTTGCCGTCACTCGTTTTTTTGGTTACAAGGGCCCAGAAAACATCAATTCTGGCTAAATCACATGTTATAGGAAGTAATTTACTATATATAGAAACCTGATTCATCCACTTTTTCGTTACCAGGGCCCGCCAAGAGATTTTCTGTCGAAAATTCGCCGTTTTCCGGCGCCCGATTACAATACTCTTATCGAAATCTTATTTCGAAAAGTAAAGTGCCGAAAAGTAAAAATACGTGGGATATAGCGTTGTGGCATCTTAAGCGGCAGGGTCGAAAACCAAAATTCATTTGAAATTTAGAATTACGTAAAGAACAGTGGTATAAAGGCAAGGAAAGTGCTGCAAAAGATGATAGATGTTTACTGAGGATTCTGCCGAAACAGCATTCGGAGCAAAGAGGCCAAATGCCTTCACTATTAGGGGAACACATTTTGTATTCAACTTTAAAAATATATTTTTTTTTGCATTTTCTTGCAACATATCCTACAAGTTTTGTTATCTTAAAAACATAGGGCAATCACATTTATACTCCATATCATTAAACTTCACAAAATTTGAACAGATTTATGATTATCATTATTTTGCTAGAAACATAGTTTGAGAAGAAATAATATTAAGATATCTTTTTCCAAGACAAGGGTCAATTTCTGAATAGTATTTAAAACTGCTTGTTTTCTAAAAATTAAAGAGAAAGGTACATTGTACCATAAAGCATATCTCAGTGGAAAACACACACACACAACTTCCTTTTTCCAGCAACAAAAATGCAATCACATTGGTCAGCTGTGATTCCATATTTCTTAATAAAATCAGAAGTTATGGACTTATGATACACTTATTTCACATTCACAGAATCCAATCACATGAATTGTTTTGCCTTATTCAATACTTAATAGGTACTATTATATCATTATAGATAATTTTCTAGTGTATAACTTTAAACAATTTTTGTAGTTTTCCTTATCAACCTTTTCCTTTAAAAATATGTTTGATCTGTTGATCACAAAAATATTTCAAGGCATTATGGTATAGAAATAGTTTTCAATTTAGTTAATGGTTATGAATTAAGTTTACTATCCATTTCTGCAACTTTCTTTTGTATTAACTGTATTTCTTGTCCCAAAAGTTTGGCTTTAGACACTGTATCAGCAGCAGCCATGAAAACATTATGGTCAAGCTTGAGACTGCTCAATGAAGTACTACGAGTAAACTTCAATAATGTTCGTTCAATTTCTTGCAGCCTATTTCTTAAAATGCGAACATCACTGCGAAAACCTTCAGATTCCAGTCGACGACGTTGATCTAGTTGGTTGTATTTTCCCTTCAGCACAGTTACAAGTTGTTGAAGTTTCTGAATCTTATCCTGCAACCAAGAATAATTTCACAAAACACATGAGAAAATTTTAAGAGAGATCAAATTTCACTTAATTCTGTCATCCTGACAAACTTATCCCATAAAATTACCCAGACCAATTCAAAATTATCAACCTCTTTACCTTTGTAATATAGTACTTGGTCAAAGACAACCTTGTATTACTAAGTGATCCCATATATTTAAATTCCTTAATATAGGTAATCAATCTCAAAAGTGCTTTAGAAATTCTCAAGATACACTCACAATGTGAAGATAAATTCATGGTGTAGTGAGATTTTTTCAACATGACAGTTGCCCTGCATATTTTGCCAGTGCATCAAGGTGGATTCTAAACTGAAAGTATCCAAACCGATAGTTAGAGTGTGCTGGAGTAAGAAACTGGCCTACCAACTCTCGAGATCTCACTCCTTTGAATATTTTCTGTAGAGAAAAATCAAGAATGTGTATAAAAGTGTCCATGACTCCAAAAGATCTCAGAAGTCAGATTTTGACACACTGTGCCGCTATAAATCTGGAAACAGTCAGTACGTTGATCCTTCCTTACACGACTAAAGATGTGCATTGCTGTCATTGGAGACAGAGCATAAATGTATATAATTTATGTACATATTTTATATTGTTTATCTACAGTTAACTATGTGTTAATTTAATTTTTGTAACATCTCATTGATAACCATGTCACTTTCTATCAATAATATTTTGAGGTTTATTTTGTTTCCTCCTTTGGTATACTGATGTCTACATAAGCAGATGATTAACAGTAAATAATAATAGAATATATGATCTGATTATTTTGAAATATATTCAACCATCTACTCTCTTCCTTTTACTTCAAATGTTTTTAAATGCTGGCTTGTTCCTATGTCCATTACGAATTAATCCATTACCTGGATTCTTGAGAAGTAAGAAAATTATCTTTGTTATTATCTTTCTTATGTTACCAATTTTTTGATATTGTTCTTTGCAGTGATCGATGCTTTGGAATTTCAGTACAAGAAAAGTTGAAAAGATGAATCAATGGAAAAAAATCTCATTCAGAATGTTAAATAGGCGTTTCTTCCTGTGTACTTTGTGTCAAGACTATGGATTGCTATAATTGTATCTCTAACCCTCACTGCCACCCCTCTCCCCTTAACAGTCTTGGTGCCGCAAAAGCCTCCTTTGCAAGAGCTACAATAACGCAATATTGTCTGGGCAGTATAGCTGCCTATTCTTTGAGCAGTATAGCCCTGAAGAAGGCCACATGATGGCCGAAACGTCAGCTCAATCGACTGAGATGTGGTTCACCACGGGCAGTCAAGTATCCGAAATATTGTCTGTTTAATTTAAAATCATATATGAGGAAGTATAATTTTAAACTGAAATTACTGTCCAAACCTTAAAAAAAAATACATCTGAAGTCATGAGATTAAAAAGGAAAAAAATCCCTCAGGGTAATTTTAAGGGCAGAGAGTGAGAGAGAGATATACGAGAGAGAGGTATAGATGGAGAGACAGATAAAGAGAGAGAGAGAGAGAGAGAGAGAGAGAGAGAGAGAGAGAGAGAGAGAGAAAGAGAGAGAGAGAGAGAGAGAGAGAGAAAGAGAGAGAGAGAGAGATAAAGAGAGAGAGAGATATAGAGATGTAAATAGAGAGATAGATATAAAGAAGTGTTTCACGCCTAAACTAACACTTCAATTAAAAACGTACAAGAATTCAGTTTATTTTACAGCAAATATTTTGTTTTTATTACTTATCGCTATCGACCTTTAAAAAGGTTTACAATAACTACCATAACAATTTTTGCATTTTCTTATTTCAAAAGTAATGTTAAGTTTGCTAAGAGCTCTTTTTTGTTGTATTCACTGTCACCTTCCTTTGCACTATTTGAAGTTTGCCAGGTTAAAAAGTTGTTTAAAAATTCCTGTTCTCATCAGGAACATAATGAATAATTCTTGAAACATCTTGGAGCTTCTGTTTCTTGACAGGAACACTGCTGGTGTTCGCCCCTTGCAAGGGATATTTTTCAAAAGATTGTGAGACCATCAATAAAGTCTCTTGCAGTGATGTATTCACTAATTTTAAATTGTGCATTTGATCTAGGGGTCAAGGTCTTTAAAATGATTTTTTTTAAAGAATAAAGCACCAGGTTTTGAAATCTTTGATTTAATTATAATTCAATGAGTGAACACAAAATAAAGGGGGATTTTTTGGCACCTTCAATCTTTCAATCATACAAAAAAAAAAAAAAAAAATCAAAACTTCTAATAAGTTTTAATTACTCCAAGGTTATGGTCGCATGGAAGAAAGCTGTGACACCAAACTGCAAAATAGACATTTACCTAATTACACGGTTTTGCAATACTTAGGCTTAGAAGAAATCTTACAAGTGAACAATAGCGATTTTGGCCAGGACATGCATCGCTGAAGACTAGCAACTCTTTCACATTATGAGAAATATCGCTAGTAATGCAGTGATTCAGCAATGAAGAAACTTCATCAGGGACCCCTTCTATTGCTACCCCTTCATGGAATGTGAGGAATATTGCTTCTTCGTTTCCCCTGCCTATGTACACAGAAAATATAATGGCACAGTTTTCTCAAGTATAACTTGTACGGGTATACAAGGTAAAGGAAGATTCTGCAAATAATAGAAAACTATACCAACGATATCATTCATGTTCATACACATTTCAGCAACTTCATTAAATTTTTTATAAAATTAGCTCTTTTTTTTGTGCACTATTAGCTCAGTTCCTGCAGAACACTTTGCATTTCATTTGGTATTGCAGATTTAATCTTGATATTATGACCCTCACATGTTGAACAGATGCTGAACTGAAGCTTGAAATCAAAATCCAAAGTTTTCTTTGCAATAGTTCAAAAAATACTACTAATACTCATATTTAATTGTTTTTAAGATCAAGATGCTTTTCTATTACCATATCATTCGTTTACATACCAAGCCAGCTTCTAGATATGTCACTGGCCTAGTGGAATAAAGGAAGATTTTCTTGGGAAAAGAATTGAAACATCAATTAAATGTGGTATTGTGGTATTTCATTGTGGCTATCATGTTTATGTCACATATCATATCACACTGAATCTTCGCTAAAAGAGAAGTGCCTAAAAGCAGTTTGCTAGATATTGGTAAGAAGAGCATTGCAGCATACTTCTGTTCGAATTCCCTCTTTCAATGCAAAGGAATTCAAATAGGATGAAAATTTATTGGATTCTTCATTTTTAGGACTATGATGAATGACATCATTGTGATCAATCATGCCCATTAGAAAAGTGTCTGGTTCATTTTTAGCCGTACCGCTGTAAACTGAATGAATAAATGTTCTTTTTGCTCATTGTGTAACATCATGAAGCGCTTCTTTTATAGTTTCAATTGGGTCCTTTCTTTTGTTCCACTAACCAGCTTTTGGTGTTCACAAACTCCTCCACTTTCAGCCTACATTCTTTTGTTATTTTAGTCATATTGACGCTCTCTGTTCTCTCCTTTAAAATACATTCACATTCACTCTCAGACATTCTACTAGTACTGTTTCAAAATGTAACACAAAATAAAGCATCAGAGGATAAAATTAACTAACCCTATTCTTAAAAGTCGCTACTAGCCCAAAACAAATAATACTCAATTCACATCAATGAAACTGTCTCTTTTCACAACTGATATGACAGTCACATTTCAGCACTTCTAAATCTCACTAGCTGCACAGCTGAGTTGAAGATTTCAGGAAGGTTTTCTTTTACAATGCACTTGCAACTTCAACTTCCTTCAATAGCATATACAACAATGGAATCTTTCCTTACTTTAAATCATTAGATGCAGCTAGAGAAGTGCTAAAAATAGTTTTTTTAGTTTATTTGGCCACAAAGTGGAATCACCTCATATAATTATGTTTAAAAAATCAAAGATGATTAAAATTCTCAGAAATTAGAACTATTATGGATAATTTCTCTACAGCAATTACTTGTCCTATAATTCCACAATGTTGAGCGAAAACTGCATAGAAGTTATGGGAGTGGTTTATAGCTGGTGGGACACCTGTATAAAACCAATGTAAATCAAGAAAGGGAAATCCGTGTAGACCTGTGTAATTTTTCCCACAAGGTAATAAATTAATTCATTTTTCCTTATTTTATATTATTTTCAATGTTCTACCAATTTTAGATATTCTTGCACGAAGGTAGATAAGTGCTTTTCCCTCCTCTTATTTCAAGAGTTACTCTTGCCTTTTTCCTGCTTATTTAATTTGTAATGCCATTGTTGCGCTTAAAATTAAAGGGTTTGGTGCCTTCACACCCGATGTCTAGTTATCGTAACAAATTATGTTTGATCACAAACTGAAGTATTCAACAGTATGGAGAGAGAAACTTGCGTTCAAGAAATGTTTTGACTGTGGCACATTTTTGAAGGCTCCAGAGGTCATTTCCTCCCCTCTGAAGTCAATGCATTTTACTAATTTTACTCAATTTAATCCAATCAATTAGAACATATTAATTCCATCACATCCTATTGTATTTGCTACGATTCATTGCTATGGGTAGCTGTAAACACATGCATTATTACACTCTCATGGCAAATTTCAAGTAATAATTTTGACTTTTATTTCCTCAAATTGTAATCACGAACTCTCAATGAACAAAAAAAGCATTAAAAGGAAAAATTTACAGGTTTTAAGAAGTGCCTACTTAAATTTATTTTTAATTTATTTAAATTCTTTCAAAATTATTTAGGTGGGATCCGTACAAGAATTGCACCCACCACACTTTCTAGATATGTCCCTATGGTTTACATTTCATACATAATACTTCCCCAAACTATGTAGGTCTGCCTTTGATCTGGATTAACCTTTAGAATATAATTTTAAAAAACAATAAAGCACTAAAATGAAGTTTGTAGAATCAATGTGTACAATGGTTTTATTACCTTACACTGTGCTTTGTGAACTTCTAGATGTTTCTGCAGCGTAGATCCTTTTTCTTCAAGAAGATTACATTGTTCCTGATACATAGATATGACTTGCTCTCTTTGGCTGAGTTCATCCTAGAAACAAATATTACCAGATGAAATTGATACATTTTTTATTTGAGATAAATAACTCCTTTCTCATGGATTCAAATAAAAAGAAGCATTTTCTGTATAATATCCTCGACAATGTTTATACCATGTGTGCGCCATTTCAACTCTTTGTATACAGAGACCGTTATCAAGATTCTGACCAATGATAATTCTAAATTTGGGACTGGGAGATGTGTGGTCACAATATGCACAATATACAGGTAAACATAAATGTTCATGTGGAAATATGTGTGCGTTAACATGGAGATGCAATGTGAAGATTGTAGTCTGCATTATTGACAGTTCAATTTTAGTGTTGTTGCTGCTGCTACTTCTACTACCACTGCCGCCAAGTTCATGAAGTGAATGATGTTAATCAGGTATTGATTTAAGATGAATCTCGCAAGATCTTACACCCAAGGCCACTCGTACTCTTTCTGTGTGGATCTCCGTTAAATCAGTTTTCGAAACATTCTAAAACTGTAACAATCCCCTTCAACAGATCATATCCATGCACATATGGGAAAAGGGGTTTTTGACAAGACTACTGGAATGTAAGTACAGATCTTCTTCCAGACTTGCTGCTAAGCCTGAGGCTCTTGGAAGGTGGATAACCCTCCTCTCTAGGCAGATCTTTCGCAATGGAAATAAACGGAATGATATGGGTTTAAGTGATAAATATCCTTGTCTTGGGAATGATATAGGCTGTAGTAACCAAAATGGTGTCAGGTAACCACCTAAGCTGATACCTAGAGAGGGTCGTGGCAGAACCAACTTATCAGTCAACAGTTGCTATCATGACTAGAGTAAGTAGTGTCAAAGTTGACCTGGTGATGAGTTAAAAAGGCAAATGTTCACTATGAAGAAGTCTAGTAAGGGTAGAACCATAATGGCTCAGGCTTCAACCCGGATCAAGGATCTTGTCCTACGTTGGGGTGACTGGACATTAGAGGAAAAAGGGCTACATGACTCAAGATTGATAAGGTTTTTGCACTATGAACAAATGCTAACACGGCCCCTTCTTTTCCTTCTGGGAATAAATTCACTATTTGTGCATGTTATCCTGTGCTAAGTGGGGAATTGTAGTAATTCAAATAATCTTTCTCCATCTTCTTGTGGCAGTATGTCGATTCCTTCATGTAGGACACGATAAGGGATAATATCCAAAACATTTTGTTGATTTATTTAGCAAATATCTTCTTATCAATTCTTGCAAAAAAAAAAAAAAAAGAGCCCTTTCTTACCTGCATTCATAATTAAACATAATGTAATGTACTTAGGGTAGGGATCTCAGAGTTCAAGAAAACGCTCAGAGTACGCTACACAGTTTTTAACTGCATTGTTGATATTAAATAAATACAATCTTCGCCTTGACATCAACAGATAGGAACTGCAGTGGGGCTGGAAGAACGAGGTGAAGTTAAGACAACAGAGATTGAAGAACGTGGTGATGTTTTTTGTTGTTGTTGTTTGTTTCTTTTTGGCACGCGAACTCTCGTCAAGGAGTATCTAAAAAAACGTTGCAAGAAAAACATTCATCCTCTGAAATACAAGCCGCCCTGAGAAGAGTCATAGTGCGAAACAACATCATCGCGTTCTACGCGGTACACGCATCAGCCAATGCGCTCGTAAATGTCCTCGTTGGCTGACCAAGGCCCCCGGCGGCAGAGGAATGAAATGGCGCGCTGCTCCGATTAAAAAGTGGGCGGACGCCTTTCGCCCGCTCCGTGGGCCAGGCAACCAGGAAAAGTGATTGTTGCCGGCCAGAGGAGAAGCTGATTGTGTTGTGGAGGCTCTGGCTTCGAAAAACTTTCTTTGGCAGAACAGGCGAGTGTGCTACACGCAGTTATGGGTGGATCGCAATTTGTTAACTTCCTTGGCTTGCACTTTGCAAATTTACTGTACTTTTCAAGACATTGATTTTCTTGCGTGCGGAGCCGCGCAACTGCTCATAACTTATAATATTGTCGTGTTATGTTGTTTTCATCACATATATACGAAATGTATTTGTGTCCGGCCAGATGGTCGAGGTCGTAAGGCACGAACTAAAAGATGCTTCTGAGCTAAGTTCAAACCGCCTGTTTCGACGCCCACGTGATACCTTCTTTCCCCACTACATTGCGAGAAGAGCGAAATGTGCGTGGTCGGACAGAAGAGACAGGACGTGCTGTTGGAGGGCCACTAGTTTAAGCCATTTTCTTTCAAGAATATTTAAATGGGCGTTCATTTAAACGTGTAGTATAATCATCCCATTATTCGACATATTGTGACCTTGGTCGTGAGTTCGGAATCGTGAGAATCCTTGCCATCGACCACACATGAACTCCTCATGTATCGTCGCTGGCCATGGTCGAACGGAACACACAGGATTCCGCTCCGACTGCCAAACTCGCAGATTAAAAAAACCCAATGAGATACTTTGTTGCCGGCTGCCGAAGGTGTGGGTCTGCATTGAGGTGGAGGTGAGTACCCCAACGAGTAGAACGATGAACATTTGCAAGTTTCGAAAATTAAAATCCTGTGAACCAGTTAGACGCTAGCGTTGTTCACAGACTGACATTTTGCAGTAAACTAATTTTTCGGCCTGAAGGATACACAAACGTATATTCTCGACTACACATGGAATTAGAGGATATAATTTACTACAGAATGAGCGCCCTTTTCGTCATCAAGGCCTCCCAAAACTTTGTCCAAAGCGCAGCTGCATTACATTTCGCTGCTGCATTACATAACGTCTCTATCCTACGTAGTAGTATGAAAGAAAAACTTGATTTTGAAGGCTTGTCGTCAATTTCTTTCCAAAATAAGATGTGTATGTCGACGTTCCTTTCATTAAGTCACCTCGTCCTGGACGAGGAGGCCATTGGGAGGGTTTGGAATCCACAGAGGTAGGTGGTTCATCCTCGTAGTCACCACCCACCACGGAGCCCAGCAAGGGGTTACCCCATTGGGGTGCCAGGGCTGACACAACGATAATCACAGAGCGTGGATTTTCCCTAGTTTCACAATAGAGAGGGTACACACGACACCTCACACGCTTCATGAAGTTCAACCAAAGACTTAGTTCAAGTCGATCGATCCGGAGTAGATTAGCACCTGACTGGCGGTCTAAGCGAGGCCGAAGCCAAAGGCAGTGGATCGGGGCACGGCGAATCAACGACGTACTCATAGATGCTATAGTCATCATGCATGCCTGTTTAACTATAGTCTGAGAGGCAGAACGGCCGTCACCGCTCGCGAGCTGGGAGCGGTCATATTGGGAGGAGAAGGCCGCTTGCGGCGGGGAGGGAAGTGGAGAATAAGTGTAGGCAGAGCCCTCAGACGAAAGAGCACGCGAGTGACCTTCAGAACGGTTTCTTATGCTTCCATCCGCTGAAGTTCTCAGTGAGGGGGAACTGTATGTGTGTGTGTGTGTGTGTATATATATATATATATATATATATATATGAAATAACTATATATTATATATATATAGGATATTATATATATATATGTGGCGTTATGGATTGTGCAACCAATAACACTCGTCTCATGTGTGAACACTTACGGAGGCAGCGAAGGATTACCACGACGCGTAAGGCCAGACGTGACTTAAGCGCGCGCCTGGTATTCCCGTTGGCCCCGTACTAAACGAATGCGAAAATAGCCGAGCTATGTTTTCTTGTGAATGGGTGAGAGAGGCGAACGCAAACCCCCCCCAGCCACGAAGTTATTCACCCCCCGGCGCCGCGCCATAAATACGGCCGAACCGCAAGCGAAGCTCTCGTTTCTTGCCCCATAACGCGCCGAGTAAGCAGACTCGCGTTACACCCACGATAGCGCAGTCAAACACTTTCGCTTAAAACCATTAGTTTTAGATTCCTATGTTTGCCGCTGCAACGCACTAACTAGCGTAGGAGTATTCGGCGGTCGAACAGACGGTTCTATCTAGTCGTCCCGCGAGATAGTGCAGATTAAGTAGTGTTTCTTCAATTAACAACACGGGAAGTAAAAAGTTACCCGCTGGTGAAGGGAAACATTAAAAGTTTCTGGCTTGTAAAAAGTAGAAGTATGCCAACGAGCGCAGGAAACTTGCACGGGTATCTCAGTGAAGTGCAAGGGATGACAAATTTCGACACGTGGGCGTCAGAGGGCGCGGTAGCAGATGAGGAAGAAGAAACCGAAGGCGAGGTGACTATGGGCGCACCGAGGAAGAAGAACGGATCGAACATCGAAGACGGCAAGAGGACGCAAAGCAACCAGCCTCCCCACCCCGCAGACGGCAGAGGCGACTCCGTCTCTCTACACAAGCCAAGAGGTGGCGGAACCCAGCGGCGTCACAGCAGCGCACCCAGCGCACGACCATTCCAAGGCCTAACAGTGGGAAGTCACCGAGGTAACCGAGTTAGCGAACGCGCAGAAAATACCGGCTGAAGTTCACGGTCGGCAGGGAAAGAACTAGTATACCGGACACAGTTGTTAAGATTTTGAGGACACGGGTTGCAAACAAATTACAGTATTATACGCTAGAAAGACGTTTGTGATGGCGCTATTGCCTGCCTAACAAACATTCTACTCTAGCGACATTTATTATTTCGCTTATCCCCAGACACAGGTTAAATTCTTAAATTAGAGTAGTCACTTGCACAATTTTTGTTCTTTACCATGTAATATCTTAAGCGAGAGATTGTAAAAATTAAATTTTTGATTTGCCCGTGCAATGTAATGTAGAATAGCCACAATCTTAGATATAATTAATTCTTCCAAGGGGAATGCTCCCAGTGTAGTTTAGGCGCAAATTATTCAGCAGTATCAATCTTCAAAGTAAATTAGTGTTCTTCATATGAGTGTGTGTTGCTAAGGTTTCTATCTCCGTTTTTGCATTATTCTTTGTAAAGTGTGGATTCTATATCTTCCTGGCTTTGTTCATTAACTTATGCCACTAAAAGTTTATGGTAATTATAACGCTCGTTTGTCGTGTCCAATCTGTGTGATTTTTATTGTCG